AACTGTCTGGAAATAAAAGTGGTAATGCCTCACATGCTAAGACACTTTATGGTTTACAAAGCATACTTTGGTATTGACTAGATTGTTAGTTTCATGTTACAATGAAGAAATTGAAGCCATATATTGAGCTAGCAAGTGGTAGAAATAAGTCTAGATGCCTTAAGTCTGTTGTTGTTATGTAGTTGCTAACTCACATCCAACTCTGCAGCCCCATGAAGTGTAGCCCACCAGGCTTCTCTGTCCCTCCTCTGTCCATGGGATCTGTGGATCTGTGTCCATGGATATCAAGAATACTCCAGTATTCTTACCATTTCCTTCTCCAGGGGATCTTCCTGACCCAGGGGTCAAACCTGACCTCACGTCTCCCACATTGCAGGGGGATTCTTTACCAATGAGCCACCTTCCTAAGTCTAGTGTTCATTTTATTGTAAACATTTTAGAAACAGTAAGAGAATGGGTAAAATAAAATCAGATAAATTCATATAGTGGAATAGCACACAGCAATAGATAGGAACAAAAATGGATGAAAACCAGTAATACTATGCTGAAAGAAGCTTTATACTTATATACACAAAAACTTTATGTAAAGATATAGAATAGACAGAAGTGATCAGTGAGATGAAATCATTGGTAACAAATATAATGATGCCTATAAGTTGTTTTGAGATGCATCAAGTATATAAAATGGATAGAGACATGAATAAGATAAACAAGTTTGTAAAATGCTATTATAGAACCTAATTAGTAAGTATACTGGTGTTCATTGTACAAGTCTTTTAAGTGTTCACAATAAAATGTTAGAAAAAAGTTTTTCATTACTTTTAGTGGTTTTGAAAATAATATGTGTTAGTAAAAATAAAATTTTTCCCCAAGAAAAATACACAGGAGGTAGCAGGAACTGGTAAAAGACTGACTGATATGTGAAATATATCTTTGGAACTCATTAAAGGTATACTTCCATATTGTCTGTGAATGTAGCCCCACTTAAAAGTTAAGACTTACCACACCAGAAGAGTAGTGTTGAGTGGAAATTGGGATGAAAGACCCTCCTGGAATGATGTGGTTAGTTTTACACAAATAAAACAATTTATTAAAACTAATGACACTCTGTCTACATTACATTATATAAATTTTACCTTAAAAGTAAAAAGAAACCTGAAAGTAAATATTGAATTCCAATTAATTATATGCACGCATAAGTGTTTAGGGGTGAAGTATATTGATGTCTAAAAAATGAGCTGAGGATAGGTGATAGGTATGTGGTATAAAGAACTTCCCAGGTGGCGCTAGTGGTAAACAACCTGTCTGCCAGTGTCTGAGACGTGGATTCGATTCCTGGGTTGGGAAGATCCCCTGAAGGAGGGCACAGCAATCCACTCCAGTATTCTTGCTGGAGAATCCCATGGACAGAGGAGCTTGCGGGCTACTGTCCACAGGGTCACTAAGAATCAGACACAACTGAAATGATTTAGCACACACACATGTGATATAAAACAAATTGTAGAATGTTAATTGTGAAGTCTAGTTTATTAGTATATGGGAATTTACTGTATAGTTCTTATAACCTGATGGAGAAGAAGACAAGGACCTAAGTAATCACTTTTTGTAAATATTGAATTGAGAGTTATTGTAGCAGTAAGTAGCAATGAACACACCCAGGGCCCAGATCTTGGTCTCTAATACCACTTCTCACTAAAAGAAACCAGAATTTCTTGAAAACATGGCAGATTACAGATAGAAGAATTTTATCAGTGTAAATTTAAGAAATTGATGACTGAACTGAGGTTTTATAATAGAATATTACTATAGTTCAGTTCAGTTCAGTTGCTCAGTCGTGTCCGACTCTGCGACCCCATGAGTCGCAGCACGCCAGGCCTCCCTGTCCATCACCAACTTCCGGAGTTTATTCAAACTCATGTCCATTGAGTCGGTGATGCCATCCAGCCATCTCATCCTCTGTCGTCCCCTTCTCCTCCTGCCCCCAATCCCTCCCAGCATCAGGGTCTTTTCCAATGAGTCAACTCTTCTCATGAGGTGGCCAAAGTATTGGAGTTTCAGCTTCAGCATCAGTCCTTCCAATGAACACCCAGGACTGATTTCCTTTAGGATGGACTGGTTGGATCTTCTTGCAGTCCAAGGGACTCTCAAGAGTTTTCTCCAACATCACAGTTCAAAAGCATCAATTTTTTGGCACTCAGCTTTCTTCGCAGTCCAACTCTCACATCCATACATGACCACTGAAAAAACCATAGCCTTGACCAGACGGACCTTTGTTGGCAAAGTAGTGTTTCTGCTTTTTAATATGCTATCTAGGTTGGTCATAACTTTCCTTCCAAGGAGTAAGCGTCTTTTAATTTCATGGCTGCAATCACCATCTGCAGTGATTTTGGAGCCCCCCAAAATTAAGTCTGACACTGTTTCCACTGTTTCCCCATCTATTTCCCATGAAGTGATGGGACCAGATGCCATGGTCTTAGTTTTCTGAATGTCGAGCTTTAAGCCAACTTTTTCACTCTCCTCTTTCACTTTCATCAAGAGGCTTTTTAGTTCCTCTTGACTTTCTGCCATAAGGTTGGTGTCATCTGCATGTCTGAGCTTATTGATATTTCTCCCAGCAATCTTGATTCCAGCTTGTGCTAGAGACAAAGGGTCATAATGTATGTATGATTCAGAAAAAAATTATGCTCACACATGTGTGTATATGTGTATGAAATGGGGAAAGAGACTACAAATAATAAAGCAAATGAGATAAAATGTTAGCAACAGATAAATCTGAGTAAAGCATAAATGTGTGTTCCTTACACTATTTTTATTTTTATAACATTTTGTAAGTTTGAAATTACTTTCCCCCAAAAGATTAGATAGGAGTGGTGCGGGAGGGAAACCCAGGTGATCTACTTAGCTAGGGACTGATTTTTAGTTGGAGTACTGTGTTTTTGTTTTTGTTTTTTTGCTGAGGGATGTTCCATTGTATGGATATACTAATCTCATTTATCCATCTATAGTTGACATGTGCATTGTTTCCATTTTGAGGCTGTTATGCTGTGGAATAATGATTCTGTGAAGAGTTGTGTACACATTTTTGTGTGAATGTGCTTTTTATTTCTTTGTGTATATATATCTAAGAGTTGAATTGCTGGTTATATTTTCACTTCTGTTTACCTTTGAGGAATGGCCAGGCTGTTTTCCAGAGCCTCTACTCCATTTTAAATTCCCACTATCAATGCATACGAGTTTCCAGTTTCATGGCCAACATTTGTTATTATCTGTCTTTTTTTGTTAAAGCATCCTAATAGGTGTAAAGTGGGCCTCTCTCAATTTTTAAACCCTATGAGTATGATTAGGTCTTCGTAGTAATAAAATGGTCTCCACCCATTTCTAGCAGTGAGTCTCTTTATTAAATATGGAATACATATAATAAGTGAAAATAGGATAATATCAGAGAAATTCTTTTGCCATTTCTTTGTTAGTATTTCAAAATTATTTGGAGAAAATCTCAAGAGAACAGAGATTAGAGTTTTAAAAATTGTAGAGCTAGAACTCATGGATTGTAAGTGCCTATTATAATCAAATATATATTTAGCATCTAAGCCTTGAGTCTGTTGTAAACATCAATACCACTGCCACTGAAGTCTCCACAGTGGTTTTGGGTACCCTTCCTCACCCTTGCCATAGCATGGAGCCCATCATCTGCCTTCTTCTGGGAGCTCAGAGCTTCTGTTAGGATTAGTTCACCGCACTATAGATTAAACTGGACTATGTGAGTTCATCTGAGGTCTGACCATTGATTTTTAACATGGTTTCTACAGGGAAAATATGACTTTTTTTTCTTTCAGCCCACCAACTTACAAATGACTGTTTAGAACACAACTTAATTATAATTTGATAACTATTTGTCCATGAGGAAAGGCAAAATAAGTTGAAATTATTTAACCTAATGTCAGAAAGCTTTATGTTGACTTAAACCATCATCGTAGATTAAAACTTTAATGAAGGATCATTCTCTTTATTCTAATTGGAGTTTTTATATTTTGGAACTGAATATTATTGCCATAAGTAGGAATTGGAAAAGTGGGAATTGAATTTAATTTTGAAAAATGTATGTGTGAGTATCAAAGAGAATAGAAAGAACAATAGTATTTCTTTCACTCATATTTTATTTGTCTCAGTTTAACAAAGGGAAGATGCTCTTAGTTTCATCTGTTTCCTAAAAGGTCAGTTTTTCATATTTGGTATGTGCATCCACCTATATACTTATTTCCTTATGTTTTATTTTCATAATCAAGTTTAACTGACCTTTAATAATTGTTAAAGAGGATTGGATTAAAATCTCAATAATATGAGAATGGTTATATGTAGGCTTTTTTCTTAAATGGGACTATAATAGTTTTAGATTTGATTCGATAAAAATTTCATGTCCTTTTCCCTAATATGCACGTACTAGTACCACTTCTACTGATCATCCATACATAGTACAATCCTACACAGTTTTCTTTTTAATTTACAAAATAAAGAGTGTTAATGCTCTCTGTTTATCTCTCATTTCATTAGACTATTATGACTGTCAAATGTCAAATAGGATGTAGGTTTATTTTTGTTACTCCCACCCTCTCTCCTTTCTTTTTTCTTTTTTTGGGGGGATGGGTTTTTTTTCTGAGTTTTTGAATAGAAAAAAAGATGGTTGGCAGAAGGTGTTCCCTAGAAACTCTATACTGATGTATCAGAATAACAGCACATCCTGAACTTCTGGGTCACACTTGCCTGAGAAGTCCACCAGCTATGAAGGACTGATGAAGGGTGTTCTTCCTGTGTGAGACTAATTAGGCTTCTAGGCTCATCATGTTATCTCTACAGAGGCTCCTGGCTATGCCTGAAGTCCAGAGCTTGACTTGAATATTTTCAGTTAACATTTGCTTTGTCAGACAGAGGACCATAAACTTCCCCCCAGTTATATATGAGCTGTCATTTCGGTAATTTCTTTTTGTGTTGAATTCTTACAGCTCTCCACACAAGGGGATGCAAGTCAGGTGATTGGACCTCTTACCGAAGGACAGAGAAGAAATGTGGCAGTAGTAAATTCACTATATAAGTTGCACCAATCAGTAACAAAGGTAACCTTTATTTTAATTAAGCTCCATTGACTTAATTTCAAGTTCTTTCTTCTTGCCTCAAATTTAGACAATCATGGATTATTATTTAGTTTTTTGCCAAGGAATACAGTGAAAATGTGATTGTAAACAAAGCTGAGGACTGAACTCTTTTCTAAACAGTCTTCGATCCTGGCCTTTATTATTTGTCTGTACAGTTAGTTTAAAATACATGAGGTACTCAAGGTTGCTTAATATAGTCAAGTTTATTGAACAGTTGATTTAAGGGTAAATTTTATGTGTTTTATATCTATTAAAATGTAATTTGATACCATATGGGTGGTAGCAAATTAAAGCAAAGGTAGTAACAATATAAGAACTCATAAGCTCCCTAACATGTCAGAAAACTTCTATCTTTGCCCAAAAAAATGAGGGAGAAGATGCATTAAACACAGTGATATATAATCTTCTGATATATAATCACTGAAGACTACTTGTGAGTAGAAAAAAAATGTTGCTATTGTTCTACTGACACTTTAAAAAAAATGACTGAACTTTAACTTGTTTGCCATCATGTGTTATGTCTAAGATGAACTATAAACATAATTAAGTATTAGGAAAGCAACATTTTCAACCCCATCTTTTGATTCTTGAGTCACTTGTGTTTACTCTACTAATGATTTTCAAAATATTTGGTAAGTAGAGAGATAGTTAGAAGATATGAAGAAGCCAAAGGTTAGTTGATATTCCTAAAAACTTGACCTCTAGTATGAGCTCTTATATGCTAGACTGTATTTTAGAGTACTTGTAATGACTTACTTGTAAGTATATTTTCCATTTACTTAAACTTTTAGCAAGTCATTGCTAAACAAAATGTATTTTTAAAGAGTCATTAACAGGTAAATGTCAGAAAAGTAAAGAACAAAAGTAAATAAAAAGAATATATATTTTCCATTTCCTTTCATTATTAATCTACAGACTCACAAGCAATGAAAAGTTGTATTTATTTAGCCTGATTTAAATGTCTTCATTGATACTTTCAGAATTTTCATACTGTTGGTATTGACTTGTAGAAAGGGAAACATTTGACATTTGACTTGTTAAAAATTATAGGCAACTTAGAAAAGCTGATTTTTTAAAAAATAAATAAATATGGCTTTAAACTGATCTTTTCAAGTTAAAACTATATCATTAAGGAAAGCTAGCTTTTAGAATTCTTAATGTTTTAATTATTTTAAGTAGATAATTGCTTTATACAAGAAAATGTTTTAAAACCTAACTACTGCATACTCATGGACTTTTAAAACATGTATGAGATGCTACTCTAAAGTAATGATAATGTGAAAACAGTTTTATCATGTTATGATCAAAATTAGTATTTATAAAAATAGATAACTTACTCAAAATATAACTGGATTTGTTCTAGGTGGTTTCCAGTCAGAACTCTTTCCCACCAGCAGCTGAGCAAACTATAATTTCAGCCCTAAAGGTAAAAGAATTTAATTTAATCTTTGACTCTGTAGATCAGAGTCAGTTTTAGAATTGTTTGGTTGAGTGGGAGATGTCACATTTAAAAATAATTTAGAATCTTCTCCATATGCCAAAAGTAGCATGTTGATGATTATCCTAAAGAGAGAGGCTACTTGTGTGTTTATATTTTCTAGAATCTAAAAATAGACCCTGTTGGTGTCTACAGATTGTGTTCCAGTTATGATAATTGTATCATAAGCAAGAGAAGCAAGAGTCTTATAAATATTCACCGTGTCTTAGGGCAGTGCTGCCCGGTATTATCCCAACAAAGCAGTGGTTCTCCATCAAGGCAATTTTGTCCCCTTGGGGCATTGAGTGATATCTGGAAACAATTTTGATCATCTTGACTGGGAGCAGGGTGCTACTGGCCTCTTGTGCCAGGGATTCTGTCACGCATCCTGCAGTGCACAGTCCCCCATAACACAGAATTACCATGCCCCACATCTCAGTAATGCCAAGGCTGGGAAACTACTGTGTACCTGTAAGGCATGACACCAGCGCACATCCCCACTTTTTAATGTACTAATGTAAGTTTTGCCTTGAGAAGAGTCAGAGAAGATGCAGTCAGTCCAAAGCCTTCCTGCAGTGACCCTGCCAAATACGGACTGAATTGCTTGTGTTAACAGGCCTCAGTGAAACAGTTCTGGCCTTGCTTTTTAATTAAATCTCATTAAAAATCTTTATGGCATAATAAGTGAAGAACAAACATAATCATAATGGAAAACGAGAATCTTGAATTTTCCTAAGACTATAGGAAGCTTACTGCATCATTTTGATTTAGGATGTTATGGTGCATAAATGCAACCCAAGAACGAAAAATCTCCATGCTTTTATTATTTGACAGGAAAGATATTAAACATACTTTTTTACTTACTGCAGAATATAAAGACACATAGTAGTCTTCTCTCTCTGATTGAGATTTTATCCAAAATTAAATGTTATTTTAGGTTCAGAGTTCATCATCTCATATTACCAGCATTAACTCCTATGTCATGAATGACATAATTAATGATTATACATTTAGAGTCATTTCATTATAACCACCTCAGCTATAAGTAGCATTTAAACACCTTAGGCCAATGGTTCTGATACATTTATTACTGAGATCATCTTGCACAGATAGTATATTACTAAGTTTATAGAAGTTTTGTGGTTGTTGTTGTTTATATAAGTTTTTATTGTGTGGGTTTGATATTTATATTGAAATATTTTGCATTGTCGAGACTTCAGTATTTTTGTAATCTTAGTTATTTTAGGTAAGTACTTCCCTTTCCAAAAAAGCACTGTTTTGTAAAGAGCTTGTGAAATATAATCTAACATCCTTTCTCAGTTTCCTCTGGCAGTTACCAGTCCTGCACCCATCCTTTCCATGAAGGCATTCTCCATAATGCTGTCTTTTCTGTTTTCTGTTTTCCATAAGTTGGAAACCTCGCCTGACTGTAAAGTTCTCTGAGTACACCATCATATTATAATACAGATAGAGGCAGTTTTATTTCTTCCTTTCTGATCTTGATGCCTACTTTCCATGCTTTTTTCACCTGCTAGAACACCTAGTACGACATTGCCTAGAACTGGTGAGAGTGGACTTGTCTGTTTGTTTCTAATGTGGGGAAAAGCACTGAATATTTATTTTACTATTTGAAATAGGATATTTTCTTAGATGGCTTTTATGAGATTAAACAGTTTCTTTTTTATTCCTGATTTATTGAGATTTTTTAAGTTATAAGTGGTGGTGTTTCATCAAACAGCTTTTTCTATATAAAATGATCACATGATTTTACCTCTTTATTCTGTTACTAAAATACTGAATTTATTTTCAAATATCAGACCAACTTTGATCATGATGTATTACCCTCTTTATGTATTTATTTCTGGATTTGATTTACTTAATTTGTGTTGAAGATGTTTGTATCTGAAATCATAAGTGATACTGGTATATAGGTCTCTTTTTTGTAATTCTTTGTCTGGTTTTGAAACTGTTTCCTCCTTTTCTATTTTCTGAAAGAATTTGTGTAGAATTTGTATTGTTTTCTCCTTAAATGCTTAATACAATTCTCCAGTGAAGTCATCCAGTGAAGTTTATAATTACAAATTTAGTTTGTTTAATAGATAGAGGGCTATTCAGATAATCTGTTTGTTTTTTTTTCTGGATTGAGCTTTGATTCTTTGTGATTTAGGTATTCGTTCATCTAAATTACCTAATTTGTCAGAATAAAGCTGTATATGATATTCTTTCTCTGTCTAGTTAAAGTATATAGGACCTATAGTGATAACCTCTTTTTCTTACTGATGATTTGTGTTCTCTTATCTTCTTTTAATCAGTTTAGTCATGGGTTTAACAATTTAATAATCTTCTTAAAGAAACATCTTTGGGCTTTATTAATTTTCTCTACTGTTTGTCTTTCTATTTCCCTGATTTCTGATTTTGGACTTTTTTATTTCCTTCTTATTTTGAATTTTCTTTGCCTTTTGTTGTTTGTTTTTTGGAGACCATATGCCATTGATTTTTAGACCCCTCCCATCCTTTAAATTTAAAGTTGTAAACTTCCCTCAAACTTTGATTTTGATATGGCATGCTTTTATCTTCATTCATTTTGAAATATTTTTATTTCCTTTGTGATTTCTTCTTTGATTCATTTTTTAAAATTTCTAATTATTTGTGGTATTTCTAGATATCTTACTGATTTCTTTTTTCTTGCTTATCACTTTTTTATTGAAGTATAGTTGATTTGTGATATTGATTTCTGATATAATTCTCTTATCATCAGGAAACATATTCTGTATGATTTCAGTCCTTTTAAATTTATTAAGTATTATGGTCTAGCGTGTGGTCTGTCAGTGAACGAATCATGTATGCTTGATAAAAACTTGTAATCCTCAGTTGTTTAGTATCATACTTGTAAATATCCATTAAGTCAAAGTGTAGTGATGTGTTCAGATTTTAGGTGCCTCTACTGATATTTTTGTAGTTGTTCTATCACTTGCTGAAAGATAGGAGTTACAATTTTCCATAATTGTGGACTTGCTTATATCTCCCTTCTATTCTCTTGATTCTTGACTCTTCCGTTTTGAAGCTATATAACTAATTGTGCTGAGGCTCTATTCTGTAAGTATTTATCATTTTTATGCCTTCTGATGAACTGACCCTTTTCTCATTATGAGATATCCTTCTTTAGCTTTGTTAATACTTATTGTCATGCATTATTTTATCTGATATTAAATTACTCCATGCTTTTTTATTCTTAATGTTTACAGAAGAAGATGTATCTTCTTTTGTCCATTTACTTTCAACTCCTCTGTGTCTTTAGTTTTAAATGCATTTCTTGTAGTTAGTATAGGGTTGGGTCTTGCCTTTGTCTGTTCCCATAATCTCTGCCTTTGAATTGGAGTGTTTAGTCTGTTAACATAATACAGTTATCAATAAGGTTTTATTTAGGTGTATAGTTTTATTGTTTTTTGTTTGTTCCCTTTGTTTTTTTATTTCCTCTTTTCCTCCTTTTCTGCAGCCTTTTGGATTATTTGATTATTATTTTTTTGAATTTCACTTAAATGTATTTCTTAAATCTTTGTCTATATTTCTTTGAGGTTTTTTTTCCCATTGTTCTTCTGTGTATACATGCATTCTTAACTTCCCACAGTCTTTTAGAGTTAATATTGTACTGTGTCATGTAAAATCTAGAAACTTTGCATTAATTGAAGTACATTTACATCTACTTGCATGGAGTATCATTTTTTTATTTTAAAATTTCCATGTTGGTTCTTTTTTACATTTTAAATCACTCTGTTGAGATTTCCTATTATTTATGATGGGCATTTTTTTCTTTATCTCATTGAGGTTCTTGCCTGATAACTGTAGAGTGGATCATTTCAGAATTGGCAGCTATTGCTTGTCTTTTCCCTTTAGAACTGATAACATCTCAGTTCAGTTCAGTCGCTCAGTCGTGTCTGACTCTTTGCAACCCCATAGACTGCAGCACACCAGGCTTCCCTGTCTTTCACCGGCTCCTGGAGCTTGCTCAAACTAATGTCCATCGAATTGGTGATACCATCCAACCATCTCCTAGCTTTTTGTTATTTAGTCATTTTAATATATCCTAGACAATGTAAACATTATGTTTTGTAGACTCAGTATTTTTATATATTGCTCCTATAAATATATTGATCATTTCTTTAGCAGATAAGTAGCTTGTTGAGACTCAAATTATACACTGTCAGACCTGTAGTTGGCCATGTCGAAGATCTCAGTTCTTTCAGCTTTAGTTGCAAGCCACTTGTTTGCTTTGCACACACATGGTTGAATTAGCTGAAGACTAGTGCTGAGTTCACACATGGGAAAATAGGCTTGTTTCTTCTCTGGCTCTCTCGTCTCTGAAGTTCCCCCCTTACTCTCAGCAGCCCTGGTTGAACCAGGGTCCCTTCCCCTGTTCCTTTGACCTAAAAGACTGCAGGTTTGGTTTTATTTTTCTCTCAGCATTTTAGCGACCCAGGCTTGCCACTACCATGACTAAAGTCACTCTCGTTGCAGAGGCACAAAAAAGGAAAACTCACTCTCTTCTGATTGTTATGTATTTCCACACTCCTCTAAAACTGCTTGCTTTTTTGCCATCTCCAGAAGCCTCCAGTAGGGTTTTTTTTTTTGGTATTTTTCCACAATTATGTGTAGGAGGATCTGTAGTTAGGCACTCACTCCTTCATACTGTGTAGAAAACTTGCCCTTCCTTCTTGAAATCTCCTGTCTATTTATTTTCACTATATTCCAGGATCTCTTCTTACTTCTCTGCCCAGTGGCAAAGAATAACCAAAAGCTCATTGGAGTCAAATGCACCTAGAAAAACCCAGCTTTTCCACTTGATAGCTTTGGACAACCTTCTTAACTTGACTTTAGTTTCCCTGTCTACAAATTACTTTAAATTCCACATCAGTAAGTTAGAGATTCTCTTAATTCTTAGAGGAAGGAACAATTGAGTTTTCAGTGGCATGGTTACCTATGAAACCAAATCACAGTATCCAGCACATGACAGGTACTAAGTAAGTACTACTACCCCTCTTAATCTGTCAAGGGCTCCTCTTCTGCATGACATGAAAATGGAATTCCTTACTCTATGAACTGTCCTCTGGGATCTCAGTGACACATTTGGCTTTGTCTTCTCTCTTAAAAGCCAAAGACAACCATATCTAGTTAAAATGTGTTAGAAACTATAGCCGTGAAGCCCTTAGTCCCTGCTGGAGAGCCCATGTGGGTTTCCCCGTAAGTCCTTCCAACTTGTGTCCAAAACTGAGCAGTATTTCCTTCCCCCATCCCTAAATCACCCAGCTGCTTGTGCATTTACACATTCAGTTGATAATGCCACCAAGGCATTAAAGGAGAAAAAAATCTGAGTGTACCCTCTGTCTTTCCATTCCGTATTTCTCACATCTGATTCCCACGTCCTCTGTTCTCCTTTCCCAGTGTCTCTGCCTCAGCTCCTTATCTCTGTTCTTGCTGCCTCTGATTTGGTTCAAGCACTCACCACTTTGCATGCTACTATGTCCTCTTGCCTTTAATCTAATTTATCCAGTCTGCTGTCCCAGCATGATTTTTCCCAAATTCAAATCTTTAACCAGGTTTTTTTTTTTTCCCATTGCTTAAAACCCATCGTTGGTTTCCCAGTTCCTTCAGGATATGTTCCTATCTCCTTAGCAGCCTGCACAGAGTACATCTGCTCTGTCTCTCTTCCACATTGGCAGCCACCGCATACTCTGTTAAACTCCTTGGAAAGTTGAAAGTTGAAAGTGGAATCGCTCAGTCTTGTCCGACTCTTTGCGACCCCATGGACTATAGCCTACCAGGTTCCTCTGTCCATGGGATTTCCCAGGCAAGAATACTGGAGTGGACTGCCATAAACTCCTTACAGTTCCCCAAATGTATAACCTTCCCCAGGCTCCTGTGCTCTTGACGTATGCTCCCTCCAGTCTCACACCCTCCCTCCCAGCACATACGCTTGGCTTTTAACCTATTTTAACCTTTGAAATTAAGTTTACGCAACACCTTTTGTTTTTTAATCCTCTAAGTATAATTTGGGTGTCTCTCCCGTGTTCCCTAACTCTCAGAGCATTGATATCACCACAGCTTACCTGTTGTCACTAGATTGTGAGCTCCCTGAGGGCACGCTGTATGTGTGTGTACACACACACACTCTCTCTCTTTTATCTTGTTTCATTTTCATCCTTTATTTCCGAAAAGAGAGCCGAGGGATTGTGGGGCAGAAGGCTTAGAGAGAAAACACACAGCCCATGTCTCTGTCAATCCTGTATACATATCTTTATTTTTATCAGCAAATTAAGGCTTGAGCTGACATTTAGGAATCTAATGAATAACCTTTTTTCATTGATTTCAATTATTTGTATGAGCCAAAGTCATCCATCTTCCTTGTATGTAATCATGATTGAAGCATATATAATATACTTAAAATTTAGACTTTGAGTTTCCTGAGGCCCAGTCATATTTTCACATAAAAACCGTAACTGTGGCCTAGCATCATAACATAACTGATGAGTATACTTCGCAGTAGAACAGTTTCTCAACCTTAGCACTATTGATGTTTTTGGCTGGATGGTTCTTTGTCATGGGGGACTGTCTGTTGCACTGTAGGGTGTTTAGCAGTGTCTCATGTCCTCTGGATGCTGGAAGCATACCCCACCCCCACCCCCACCCCAGCCATGACAATCAAAAATGTCTCTAAACATTGCCAGGTGTTCTATGGGGAGCAAAATTGCCCCCATTTGAGACTCACTGCTGTCAAACTCTAAATAGAAATCTGATCCACGAAATGCCTAACTGTTCTTCTGCCCTTTGAGAGTCACTGATATATTTATTATATCCAATTTGGTCTAAAACATGTGATGTTGCTCCAGTTTTGAAGAATTACTTTTGGTCTTACCTCAGTCTTTCCAGAAACTTTAAAAAATGTGTTCATATTATCTGTGCTTCATAAGTGACATTACCTCTCTCTTCTCCTTTCTCCAGAGGCTCATTTGAGTGTTAAACTTTTTGAAAATATGAGAAAAGTGGGGGAGTTGAAATTTTTCAGTGCCGTGTTCCACATACTTTAAAAATCATTACTGACAGCAGTTATGAGAAGAGCAGACTTCTGTTGGGTTATTATAGTTAAACTGTATATAGTCTGAATTTGATATAATGTGAAAACTTTTAGTCAAAATGCTTTTCACACCTCAGATTTCTTTGTGTTTGATCTGTTTAAATTTTGCCTCTTTTTAATCTTCTTTTCAGGCAATCTATGTTCTTATGGGAAATGCTGTGCAACCCTTGCTGACTTCCGTGGGTGATGCCATTGAGGCTATCATCATCACTATGCATCAAGAAGATTTTTCTGGGTAATGACTTCCAGCCAAAGGCTTTGCTAACCTTCGTAGCATTTGTTTTTCATTCCCGCCTCCACCTCTACTCCCTAAGTCTCTACCATCTAGACCATCTAGAACCTTGTTCCTCTTGTGGTGCAGTTGGCCTCCACCCTTATCCTGCTTTATTTGTTGGGCACCATTAACTGATTTTTTTCAGTCCTTCTTGTCATCATTCGTCTCCTGTTATTCAGACATGGAACCATTAATATCTGTGGGACTCAGCCTGTTATTAATACTTCAGGACATTTGGTACCATCTTGTTTTTGCAATTATATTTTTTTCCTTACTTCTCTGTACTTGAGCCTTTGGGGTTGGTGTGGTAATCCTTGTATAAAATGTCCTGTCTCTATTGCTATGCTAGTCTGATTCCTTTGAGGGCAAGGTCCTGCCCAATCCTCAGTACAGTCTAATCTGATCATATCACTCCTAGCCATAAACACTGGTATTATTCCATAGCTATTTCATATGTTAACTGCTTATTATCCATATCTATGTGTTTTGAGAATAAAAATCATAGTTCCTAGCTTAGTGTTTACTGAAATCTTTTTAAGTAAAATGGTTTTGGCTTAGTATTTTAGAAAACTGGAGAATTTGAAACAGTTTGCACATGCTCAAAGTGATTAAAAAAAACATGCTTTAGAACGAAGCATTCATGTATTTTTTATGTAGATATATATTCTTATTTCTAGTTTATAGTTAATTTTTTTTAATTGCCCCGTTTCTTTATATTCATGTTGTTTAATAGAGTATCTACTTTACTGAATTTCTAGCCACTGGTCTATCTGTTTATAGAAAAATTATGTGAGTATTGCACTGTCTTTTAGTGTTTCAGGTCACTTCTTATTTCATTAAGAAAGTATCTTTTGAAAGGTGAAAAGGTCAGTCTATTTTTAATAATAATATGAAACACAGAAAGGTAAAGTGGGTTCTACACAAAAATGCTGTAATATTTGGATACAGGAATATGAAACTACTGATTACCAGTATTTGGAAATAAGTGAATTTTGTTCCAGAGTGATCTGAAATGTCCCAGTTAGACCAATCATCATTGCCTCTGAAAAGGAAGCAAAACTGAAATAATTTTTAAAGGCTTGTTCTAATAAGAGTGGTTAGATACTTCCTTCAGTAATTGTATTGATGAGCCATGGCTGGTGCCTGCGGATAGCTGATTAGACATTAAAAGTTGGTTTCCCAAAGAGATATGTTTTTATTAGTTTGCTTAAATACCAGTGAACCAGAAATGGTCCTTTAACTGATAGCCCCTGGGAGGACCCTAGGTCCTTGATGTGCTGGACAGGCACCTCACAGGAGGGAGAGCACACACAGACCCCAGAATGATGGCGCTGCTTCTCAGGCATGCACTTGTTTATAGGCCTTCTGCCTCCTGCCTTGTATGCGGGCTCTTACTCCAAGGACCCTGACATTGCTGCTCACCTAACTGCTACACTTTATTACTTGAGAACCTCTTACTAAAAACTTTTGATAACTGGGAAAACTGAGTTTTAGCAATCGCCAGGCAAGGTTTATATTCTAGTAAATTTAAATCAGGTCTCTAATCCACATTGAAAATTGGTGATAACATATTTCATGATTTTGTCTAATAGAGCATTTTACTTATATTGACACATGTTTATGAAACTTGTTTTAGTGAGTTATTTTCTAATCCTCAAGGAAATCATATCACCTGGCCAGATTAAAATTCTTTAAGCAGTCCTCCAGAGTAGTACCAAGATAATGACAGTGCATTTGATAAAGCTTAAGAAGGTTAGAAAGAGATTTGGTGCCTTCCCCCCACCCCCCAACATAGCCTTTTAGACTGACAAAATCTGAATAAAGATAGGCCATGATGGTCTGAGTCTGGCAAAACCGAACCCCATGTGAAGGTTACCGTCACCTACTGGGGCTGCCCCTTTGCTGTGTTCCAAGCAGCACTCTGCCTGTGATACTGCAAACACCAGTGTTCCACTAGGCCCCTTCCATGGCCTTGCCATAGTTAGGATGCTGTTTCTTACACCCAAAGAAAATCTCTTCCTGCTAGAACCTAGCCTGTTTCCTCTATTTCTATCTGCTTTCTGGAAGTGCAAGACCTTCGGTTAGCATTCCACTTACAATAACCATTGTTGTATTTTAAAATAATTAAGTTCACCTCATTCTCTTGTTCTCGGCGTTTGAATCATGTCTGTTGTTCTTCCCTAAACCTTTGCCAATTTTGCTACATCATTCTCAGAACATGATTTATTTTTTGAAAAAGATTCAGCATTATATAGCCAGTGATCTCATTGGTTCTCTAATTAATATCAGGTGATTTCTAATTTTGGCATAACTCTTCTTTCCTATAAATATTGCACATTCTTTTCATATATTCTTTAAAGAGCAATTATAAACACTTATGAATTATAAATAGTATTTCATGGAGCATCAGCTGGCATCATCTGTTGATCCAAATTAAAGCCTTTCTAAACATCTTCTGGGAGGAAAAAATTGCATACCATGTGTATTGTTACATAACCAGTTCCACAGTCAGAATTCTACTATTGGACTGATTGGATTAAATAGCACAAGAGCAGAGATATTTTTGCCAAGAATTTGTTTGGGGAAGGCAGTGTTTTCTGTTGCTACCGAGTGTAAAATCCTGTTTCAGTACCTAATATTGATTTATTCACTAACGAGGCAAACCATGTGAGTGGATGGAGAATTGTAAAGCTGGAAGAGTCCTTGAGAGGTCAGAGTGCATAAGGCATTCTGTGAATCATCCAAGACAGATGGTTGTTGGTTTCATTCTTCATAGCCTTTCAGTAAACAGATTCAAAGATTCCTTCAGTCATCTTCCTAGCATCCTAAATCAGTCTTTAAAATATGATTTAAACATTGTATGATACTTTTCAACTCTTAACAAAAATAAACAATGCCTTTTCTACCATTATGGAAAAAAATTGCTTAGGAGTGAAATACCAGGCAGTGGGGGAAAGGAAATGTTCAACAGTGCCTTTTAGTGAACTGGCTGATTTTTTTTTTTTTTTTTCTTTTGCAGATCATTACCCAGTTCAGGAAAGCCTGATGTTCCCTGTTCTCTCTACATGAAGGAGCTTCAAGGTTTCATTGCCAGAGTTATGAGTGACTACTTTAAACACTTTGAATGCTCGGATTTTGTCTTTGACAACACTGAAGCTATTGCCCAAAGAGCCATCGAACTTTTTATCCGCAACGCCAGTCTCATTAGACCTCTTGGTGAAGGTGGGAAAATGCGACTTGCTGCTGATTTTGCCCAGGTAAAAAGGGAAAATAGTTCAACCTCAATATTATCCATTTAAATAAAAGACCATCTGTGTATTATTCAGTGTTTTAAAGAGTTGAAACATGACGAAAAGTAAACCTAAACCTAATAGGTAAAAAAGGAAAGAACTTAAAGGTACTTTCTTACAAGATATTTTTTTACTTTAACAAAAGGGTCATCACTCCTCTTTGATAGTTCCAGGTACATTAAGTAGCTCATTCCACAATAAAGTAGCATTTCCCATTTTTCATAATATGGGTCTTTCTCACAATATTACTATCCTACCAGGTCAGTAATGATAAGAATAACTGATTAACCTTGTTGGAAAATAATGAAGAGAATGAAATTTATCCTTCAAAGAGTGGGAAAGGGCAGTCTGCTGTCATGTAAAGAGGAGCTCCCACGTATGTGTGGTCCTCCAGGGTGAGCTCAGCATTCCAGGGCAGGTTCTAATTCGTTTACATGTACAGAGGTCCAGGTAGATTGTTTGATCCTTGTCTGTTAAATAAGAATACCTTTCTTATGCACGGCCAGTCTGAAAGTCATTCCACGCTATCTGATGTGAATGAAGTAGAGTCACATTAAAATAGCAAAACAATAATCAGCTCTCACAGAAAGTTTTTTTTTTTCCTTTGTCCTTTAGACAGACTTTTAAAAAGCCTTATAAATATAGTATCAGAAGTAGATAAGAACTACCTCACACATCTACTTTCTTTAAAGAAAAAATTCAGAAACAAATAATTTGTATTTACATAGCATGTCAAAGGTGAACTCATTTTTTAAGCCTTTGAAAGCTGTTAGCCCTACTGGTCTAAACGGTAATCCAAATGGATTATTCCCAGTGGTGTGCCGCATCCTCCCTGTTTATAAAGGTAGACAAGTTGTAATGTCCCTCCTCTTTATTCCTGTGTGTATCTGGAAGCAAGTCTTGGTTCATCATTCCTGCTCCCAGGAAAGAGTGTGGTGGGCTGCTTACACCAGGCAGGGGTTGTAGAGGCTCCTCCACACCAGCAGTTACAATAAGGTACATAGCCTATTGTTTCAAGAACCAGGCTCTCTGCATGTTAATTGGTCTAGAGTTAGTCATTTTCATCCCCAAATGATATGCCCGAGACCACTAAGTCAGAGTAAGGAGCCTTCCTTTGTGAAATATGCCTTTAGTAGCCTCAGTGTGAGAATACTTACAAATGTCACCATTTGTGTGGCTCCTTTTACCCTTCCCATTTTTGTCAACTTAATTCTTAGGCACCTGTACATTTTATTGTTACAGGTAAAGTTCAGCTTAAAGAGAATTATATGTTGTCATACTTGTGGGTATGACAAGTTTATTGGGGTTACAGGCTGATTATCAAATGAAAGCACAGTGATGTACCAAGACCTGCTCTTACTTGTTAAAAACACTGTGAGCTGTACCCCAGTGAGCGTCTGTTCTTCTTTCCCCCTTTCCTCCTTCATTTTGTTTTTCTTTCCCTGTCCTCTTCTCTCTCCTGGGCTCCCTCCCCCACTGGTTTATTTGCATTCTGCTCCAGCTGGTTCTTGAGTCACTTTCCTGGAGGCAGCACTTCAAGTCCAATTAGAGTGGCAGCCGAGCAGGAGATGGCCGACATGAGAGTGGTGCGGGAAGAAGGCTTTTTGTTTTTTATTTTAATGATATATCCCTTTATGAGTCCCGAGAGCTGGCGAGTGCTATCATGTGACCCCTGCTATCGCAGCCGGCACCTGCTTAAAATGCCTAGCTTCCAGGGGCAGGATTGAGTGTCTACCTTCCTTAGAACCACACATTCAGAATTTTGTTTGGCATTTCCTTCTTTCTGAAGACATGTTGCCTATAAATCAGACCTTTTCCCAGGTCCCTTCTCTTAAGATAAATGAAACTCATCAATCATTGTTATATGCTGACTTATTATGCACCAAGGCCACTTCTGTCTTCCATCTCTTACTCGGTGTTAGAGTATGTTTCCCAGCCCTACAGTGACACTGGTGCCTGCACCTTCTGTGGGCTGATTCCTTTACTCCTGGATGGTGTCCCTGCTTCACAATACCCTGCCCCTCACTGTGTGGCTTCTTCGAAGCCCTGTGGGTGGTGGGCAGTGGAATGACAGGCACAGGCACTTTGAAAGTTAGTCATGGGTGTAGCCGGTAGCTTTGGCAAATATTATCCAGTGACTGTATCTTCCCCTATATTTTAAAAATATTAAAGTGAGTTTGGGCCTTTCATTTCATTTAATGTAGTTTCTTACCACAACTACAATTATGTGGTATTCTACCTCAGCTTTTGTACTTGGTTAGAAGCATTTTTCTGAGGTAAGTCAAAACACTTAGATGCCATTACCCTGACATTTATATTCATGACAGGCATCACCTGGAACTAGAAAGCCTTTTGGCTGCCTCATTACTGAAAGTTCTATCAACTTGTATTCAAAATTAAAACCATAGCAGCTATTGGAATCAAGAACACACTTATCCTTCATGGGTTTCAAAAAAAAAATTCTTGTAATAAAAGTGCCTGCTATTCTGGCATAAATAACAGAAAGAGAAAGGATTCAGAAGAGAGTAGTTTGGGATTACTGATTATTTGTCAAGTCCAGTTTGCAAAGGCAGATAATGATATATTTTTAAAGATTTATGTAGGAATCCTAACTCCTCACTGGCACCATTACACAGGTAAAAGAGAAAATGTTTTCAGGGAGCCATCTGGCGGGTTCATGACGAGGAACGTGCCCAGCGCATGGCCCCTTAGGAATCAGGTCATCGGCATGAGGTGGTTTCCTCATGGTAATTAATTCCCTACTGTGGCCACATGGTCTCTGGGTTTACACTAATCACACAGCAGTCCTCAGGCACTGGGCTTGTCCAAGCCGCTGGGCTTCTGCTGATTCAGAATCTCTCTGGGGACCTGTCCACACTGTCCTTTGAACCACACATTCCCCTCTGCTCCTCAGTTGTGTTTCTTTCCCAGAGAGAAGGATGCTGTTTTTTAACATTAGCATTTTGCTGACTTGGTTTTGGCTGTGCTGGGTCTTTGTTGCTGCACAGGCTCTTCTCTAGTTGGAGTGAGTGGGGGCCTCTCCCGAGCTGCTGCGCTTCTCACTGCGGTGGCTTCTCTGACTTCCGAGCACAGGCTGTCAGCTTGTGGACTCAAAAGCTGTGGCTCCCAGGCTCTAGAGCACAGGGCAGTAGTTGTGGCATGGGCTTAGTTGTTCCGCGGCATGTGGAATCTTCCCAGATCAGGGATCGAGCCTGTGTCTCCTGCATTGGCACACAAATTCTTAACCACCGAGCCACCAGGGAATTCCAAAAGAAGGATGACTTTTGACGTTAGCATTAAATTATTTACTCATTGGCACTCTGAGCAGTTTCTGTTTATTTCTAGTTCCCTTTAAATATCTCTCTCTCTTGCTTTTTGCCTGAAAATTATAAATTTAGGGAAAAAATCCGCAAATAACCAAGATTCTAATTCCGTTGCCTTTTCTTCTGAACAGTGTCAGGGCAGGAATGCCCAGGAGTGTCTGAAGATGCGCTGTGGTTAGCCAGATGTCTGCGGTGGGCATGGAGCAGCTATGTAATTAGTTAACCATGCCTGCTGCTAACTGTGTGTTGCCTCCAAACAGGAGAGCTGGAGAGGCAGTTGCAGGTGCTGTTTTGTACCACAGCTAATGGCAGACTCATCTCCTCTAAAAGGAGCATGCCTGTCCTTCAGAAGCATGGCCTTTATTGTTTAGTGGAACTCTGGCAGAAGAAGATGGTTTTTAGTACCCTAGGGGTCCTTCATGGATGAAAAATTTATGTTAAACATTTAACATTTTGAAATTGTCATATGGCATAGAAATCTCCTGCAGTCATCAGAGATGACACAGCCATTTGAGGTCATAGTCTCATACTGTAATTTTCTCCTAGCTGTTTTATTTAACATTCAGTCCTGCTCAAGTGCTAAGGCAAAGGTTGTTTGCTGTAATCTTTGAAAATGATAAAGCCCACTGGGGTAACTGAAAAAAAATGGACAAAAATATTTCATAAAAATACTTTATATAATTTCAGTGTGTAATTAACCATTCCAAATGCACATCCACAGAGAAACAGACAGGCATGGGTACATGCTAATCACATTTTTACTTTGTGCTCACTGTAAAATAAGTACTACCTTCTGTAGGAAACCAGAAACTCCTATCTAGTGAATAAACTAAGTAGGTCCCAAGGAACAGCCCGTCGCCCACTGTCTTCAAGAACATTGGCTTGAAACTGCTCTCTTTTGTAACGTTGGAAAGAATCTGACTTTTCTTCCTCAGATTTCTCTTTTTATTTACTTACTCTTTTGTGTTTTAGAAAGTTTGCTGACCATGTACGGTTTCCCTCAGGACATACAGTATACTCTGTCTCCTCTGTATGCTCAGAGAGAAATCCACCAGTCATGGGTCACCCTCAAGACCATCTGAAGAAAGGAAACTGCTTTGTAATTCTCCCCTGACACTCAGTTCACACAGTTGATTTCACACTTGTTGTTTCTCTTGATAATAATCAACATGTGTGTGTGTCTGTGTTTACACACAGAGATCTCTCATAAGCTAGATGAGTGAAGATTTTAATATTTAAATAAATATGTATCCTCTTCAATAAATTTGAGAGCTCCTCAGAGGTAAGACTATCTAATTCATCTTCTTATCTCCATGTCTAGTTTGGTGCCTGACAGTTAGTAGGGAGTAAAAAATGTTTCTCAAATGAGTAATTACGTCTCCATGGTCTTCCAATGGCAAGAAGATTAGAAGAGTTTTTCAGGAAGATGGCCAGCAAGACAGATACCCCATTTTTCACTCATATGTTTTTCTTGAAGAAAGATGTTGATTTACCAGGGAGCAGGCTTTTCTCAGAAATTTTCTAAACTATTCTTTACCAGGGCTCTGTTCATAGCAAGTAGAGTGAAATGGCTTATCATTTGCCATGTATGCAAAAACTTTGCATATGCACTTGGTAGATAAAGAACAGGTAACCTAAAACTCCAGTTAATGACAAAATTTCCAGTCAAAGGAGGAAAATAAAGAGAAGTAGTAGTTGCTGAATTCTTCAGTCAGGAAGCAAATTAATCCATTAACTAATAATTTAAAGGGGGGAATTTTTTTTTTTAAATGATAGTGATTGCTGACACTTAATAAGCACTTACTATATGCTGTGCACATAGTGCTTTGTGAAATTATCTATTTTGTTTGCATAATTTTATGGGTATTATCTGTTTTTTGACAGATGCAGAACTTGGAACATAAAGAGGTTAAGCCCAGAGCCACACAACTAGTCACTGGAGATCAGAAACTGACACACATGTGCTGCCTCCAGAGTCAGTGCTTTTAATCACTTTTCACCAGCTTGGTGAAAACTGTCATCATTTCTGTTTAGTAGAAAAAGACCTGTGATGCTAGCTTAAAGTACAGACACATAGGCAGTCTTAACAACATTTCTTTTTCTTATTTTTCAGTGGAGAAAAAAAATCTAAACCTCCTCATACACCACAAAAACTACTTTTCTATTCTTGAAGAAATTATCTTACCACCTTTTTAGTAAATAAATGCAAAAGCTATCTAAGTTCTTGTCTTTTAATAAACTTGACATTCAAAACTGCCTTACAGTGCAGATCCAATTAAGTTTACTTCAAGCTACAACTTTCTGTGATCCAAGTGGGTCCCCAGTACACGTCAAGATTCTGATATAAAAAGCTATGGGATATCTTTCAATATTTCAGATGGAGTTGGCTGTGGGTCCATTCTGCAGAAGAGTATCTGATTTGGGAAAGTCCTATCGAATGCTGAGGTCATTCAGGTGAGGCATAATTTTGTTATCACTGTTAATATAACCATACCCTGTTAGCAGATAAATCCTTTCATATTCATGTTGATCTACATGAAATTGCCATTATTCAACCATTTTGTGATATACAACAAACAATGGCATTTTCATATGGTTCATCTTGAAAGTTATCCAAACTAGAAATTTATAATGTTATATGCAATAACATACGTGTGTGTGTGTGTGTGTTGCAATTCAGTTGCAGTTCACAAGATTGAGCTGTTAAATTTTTTATTATGCTGTTTCTAGGGTAATTTTTTAAATTCTCCATTCTTACAGAAATTTATGGATTAACACCGGGCAGTTCATAACTATATAGACATCTTTTTCTGAAAATGTTATTAGTTCATTTATCATTTCCAACCCAGTCTACTTCTAAAAAGGTCATAGGTTGCATGCCATTAAAAAAACAAAAACAAACTATTAAATAGAGTATTTGAAGGACCAAGTTTAGTGTTGAAATGCAGAGAATGACTGTAAATGTAGTAGATACTTTAAGGTAACCATGGCTAATGCAATTGAGCACAAAATTTGGGAGTTGAGCTTCCTAGAAATCAATTCAAAAATAAAAATGAGTTAATTCAAACCCATGATCTAAGAATGTATCAATTTAACAGGAAAATCCTTTTTAGTGCTAAATGCTTAGGTAGACCTTTTACCAACTCAAATTTTAAGGACCATTGAATAGTTTAATGTATAAGTCTTAAATATCAGATTTTAGAAAATAAAAAGAAGTTGTGCATATGGCTGTTTATTCAAGCCAGACTTCCCAAACTTTTTACATCATGGCATACAGAAAACGTATATGTACAAAAAAGATGGCCAACCCTGAGAGCCAAGGGGATCAACGTAATAGTTACAACTTGTGACTGAAGCATGCCAGATGGGAAGCCTTGATGTCAGCTATCCATAATATCCTGAAGCATGATGTTTTTTTTAATATTTCTTTCTAAAGATAGGTAAGAGAGTCCAGGCATGTGACTTTCTGTAAACTGACTCAGTACTAGAAACTAGAGTAATCAATAAGTAGTATGTTCTTTAAAAGGTTGCTTCACTCTCTTATGTCACCCAAGATCTTTGTAGAAAATTCAGGTATAATAGCACTTGAGATATAATAAACCTAAGGTTGTTGATTGAAAGGGGAGGCTTATCCTTTACTTTACCTATGTGTACTTGGCAAAGATATTTTTAATGCCAGCACAAGAGCCTGAACTTGTATTTTTCTCAAATGCCTTATGTGTACAAAGTTGGATTTCAGAAAAAGTGGGGTCACAAGTGTTTCAGATACCTTCTTTGGATTAGCTCAAACCTTTTATAAGTATTTAAATATTTTGGAAGCCTTTGGGTTTGGCACTACTAAATATGGACAAGTTGAGAGATTAAGAGGCACTGGGCTCACTGATCTTCCAGTTATCTCTATGTACCATTAAAAACAACCTTAATAAAACTCCTGTAAAGAGGTGGTTGGTTGGCATCACTGACTCAATGGACATGAGTTTGGGTAAACCTGGGAGTTGGTGACGGACAGGGAAGCCTGGTATGCTGCAGTCCATGGGATCACAAAGATGGACTTGAGTTTGGGTAAACTCCGGGAGTTGGTGACGGACAGGGAGGCCTGGCGTGCTGCAGTTGATGGGGTCGCAAAGAGTCGGACACAACTGAGCAACTGAACTGAAAGTTACTTACTCTGAGTAAGATGGAAACACAGCAGTCCCAGTTGGATGATAAAATGCTGCCCTGAGTCACAGAATCTTAGCATGCTAGAGGACATTAACCAACTACTTATTTTAAAAGGCATGGGAAAAACCATGATTTGAAATTTGCTAGTTTAAGATTAGATAGATATTTTTTATAGTCCTGCCTCCCATATTTGATTGTTTATTCCATGTGCATGTATTAAGACAGTGCTTATCTTCCCATTTGCTAATGCAAGACAACCTTTATCCAGGTGCTTGCTTTTTTTTTTTTTTTAAACATTTTGGCCCTACTGTGCAGTGTGTGGGGACTTAATTTCCCAACCAGGGATTGAACGTGTGCACCCTACAATGGAAGTACAGTCTTCACTGCTAGATCAGCAAGGAAGTCCCTATCTAAGTGCTTTTAAAGTTGTGTCACAGTATGGAGATACATGTTCTGAGGGTTTCACATAAGAACAGTTCTTTTTTAAGTCATTTAAGATTTTCTGTCAACCCACCCCAGTTTCCACATGAGAAAAAGAATCTTTAAAGGAGTGTTTAAAGTTTGAATAGTAACACCTTCTAGTATCTATTTAGGGAATAAAAAATTAATGACTGATTAGTGTATAATTTTTTTAAATCCTGGGTTTTTTATAGCTACCTTCTGTCATGAGGCAATGGTCAATCTAGATGTGTTTCAGAACTTCACCTCTGGCTGACAGTAAGAGAGATTTTATGTTACCATCTAGCATATACTTGCATGCAAGCACCCTCAGAACCATCACACAAACGTGTGCCATGAAACAGAAATTACTTTTCCTTTGTGTGATATTCTCTGGTTTCTTTTGCATCTGGTTATTTTAACCCATTTAATTGGTTTCATGATGCACTAATGTTTTGCATCCAGTGGTTTCTCACCCTTTTCTCAGGGCCCTCTATTCTTATACTTGGGCTGCTCCAGTGGTAGGGGCTGAGTTTTGTTCCTTTCTCCATCTGTAAAGATGTGCGCCCTTTTCTCCTGGAATGCTGGTACCTGAGCTTCCTTTGCAGATTCCTCAGCTCCCAAGGCATTGGCACAGATATAATCAGAGTAGTTGAATCTTGCCTATGGAGCCTTCTCTATATCTTTAATTCATTGAAAAATTCTAAAAGAGACTTACCTACCAGTGTATTCCTATAGTTGTTGGCTTAAATTTCAACATTCAGAAAACTAAGATCATGGCATCTGGTCCCATCACTTCATGACAAATAGATGGGGAAAAAATGGAAACAGTGATAGACTTTATTTTGGGGGGCTCAAAAATCACTGCAGATGGTGACTACAGCCATGAAATTAGAAGATGCTTGCTCCTTGGAAGAAAAGTTATGACCAACCTAGACAACATATTAAAAAGCAGAGACATTACTTTGCAAACAAAGGTCCATCTAATCAAAGCTATGGTTTTTCTAGTAGTCATGTATGGATGGCACAGTTGGACTATAAAGAAAGCTGAGCACCAGAGAATTGATATTTTTAAACTGTGGTTTGGAGAAGACTCTTGAGAGTCCCTTGGACTGCAGGGAGATCAAACCAGTCCATCCTCAAGGAAATCAGCCCGGAATATTCATTGGAAGGACTGATGCTAAAGCTGAAGCTCCAATACTTTGGCCCCTTGATGCGAAGAACTGACTCCTTGGAAAAGACCCTGATGCTGGCAAAGATTGAAGGCAGGAGGAGAAGGGGACGACAGTTGCTGAGATGGTTGGATGGCATCTCCGACTCAATGGACATGAGTTTGAGTAAACTCCTGGATTTGGGATGGACAGGGAAGCCTGGTGTGCTGCAGTCCATGGGGTCACAAAGCGTCGGACACGACCAAGCAACTGAGCTGAACTGATTCCTACAGATATATTGAACCTACAGAAATCTTTTGGATTGATTCTAGTGCTTTCTCAGTTGTTTGAGCGGTTTGGACACCCTTTGGTAAAGATTTTAGGATTAAGTGGATCAGGAAATAAAGTGAAAGCATAGTATACTCTGGGGTTCAAATCTAACCCTGTCTGGAAAGGTTTTAGGACCTGTCTTTGGAGAAGAGAGATGCCAGTTCTGCTGCCTCTGCCTGTAAACGTGGTTGGGCAAGGCCCTGGCCCTGCCAGTTTCTCTGCAGTTTTCCTGAGAGGGGAGTTGACTTAGGACAGCATGCCCATGTGGAAGTCCCACAGAGGCCCTTCCTAGAGAGGAGTCAGTCAGTACAGAGTCGTCTTTATTCCAGTAACTCACTTTTAGGCCCTCCTCTTGCTTCCTGCAAAAACTTGTTAAGAGGTCCATGTCGTCTCGAGAATTCAGTCCTGAGCAGTTGCAGTGGCAGGGCCCACTCTTGTTCATCTTCTTGTCTGTGCTATGACAAGGAAAAGGCATCATCTAGTGGTCATTTCCATAATTGATCTGGACTGTTGTTCCCGGACTGAAGATTCTAAGTCATATCCGAACCAGCTCAGTGGCCATCAGTAGGAAACTGGCTAAAACAGGCCATATTCATCGGATCAAATATATGCAGCCAATTAAAAATTTATACTGTTAGTTAATGTCCAAGAAAAAGAAAAATACTTCCTGATGTTTCACAAAATGAAAAAACAGGCTACTCACCAGTATATACAATAGGCATCCCTACTGTTTTAAAAATAATGACCTGTGGCTTTGGAGAGGAGAAGTCAAGGATGAACATCAAAATATTACCTTTGGAGAGTAGCATTGTTTCTAGTGATTTTTTAAAAAAGAAATTTCTTAAATTTTCCAAATTTTTTGCTTTGGTTCTTGTATATTTGTAGTTAAAAGTGTCAACAAATATATTTAAAAATTCCTCTTACAGTATTTCTCCCATTTAAAAATAACAAGTGAGCCTAAAAATAACCTAAAATATACTAAAATATTTTATAGTAGGGGGTTGGGGGGCAAGAAAGACAGTCAGACACCCACAAGAGGGGCAGCAGGCCCAGTGCCAGGGAGGGTGACAGAGCCGGGCGGGGCGCTGCCAGTCTGGACCTCAGGTGCAGCCTTCCCTCCCCCTCCCCAGACGCCCTCGCCTTGGCAAGCACCCCCTTTCCCCATCAGGCCGCCATCTGCCTCAGGGCGTCCTCCTTGATGGTGATATTAGTGGACTCTTTAATTAGGCCGGCCAGTTTCTTGCACGCATTTACATTTTCCTGTCTACATTAGAGTTTCTCAGGCAGCAGGAATCTTTTACCCCAGAGAGAAGGCTGCCTCAGAAAGCTGCTGACATTAGGGATGTGCCCCTGGGTATTTGCATTGTAGCTGCA